GTTTCTACTCCTGGAGATACTGAGTCAGTGGGAATCAATTTCCTGTGGTTCTGGTCCACAGGCACAGGAAAATTGCCTTAGCCTCCAGGTCTCAATCTGAAAGCTGAGGCAACGACCCTATTGTTTAAGCAAGTAAGCTAGTGCTGAAGCCAGAGTAGCAGGGTTAAAATTCAAACAGCAGTTTTTACGCAAGTATGGTTGCTACCATACTTCAATAATGTGCTTTGCAACCCAACACTTGCTGCTACAGCTTTTTCTGGGGCCTGCTGCTAGCTCTGGGAGAATGAAAGGGGAGCTCTGGAAGGGTGAGTGGAGGCAGCCAGGCCTGTGGCTTGGTTCTCTGTCTTCATCCCTGCACAGGTCACTGAGATCAGCTGCAGCTCATCCTGCCCACTCCTGCAGGATTCTCACGGAACCTGCCTGCTTTTCCCAGCTGAAGGCAGTGCTCCCAGCCATCTGATTCCTCCCCTCTCTCAGCCTCGCAGAGAGCTCCAGCAAGCTTCCGGCTTCTTCTCTGGTCCATTTCAGCTCTTCTCCTTCCCACCTTCCCACTTTCCTCCCACTCGCTCACCTTCAGATGTTTCAATGTGCAAATCTCTCAGACAGGTTTGTGCATTGGGCTGGGAATCCTTTGTTGAATTGTAGCTATTCAAATATTTGAAACTTCAAGGGGAGAGACCAAGGCAATCTCTCATGCTGCCATTCCTCTGATGTCACGTCCAACATTGGTATTTTGATGTGGAATACATTAAATCGATACGTTACTTTGGGTAACGTATGGACACTTTAATGATGTTAGTTTTTTCATCCATACGCATGGTATATGTTTTTATTTATTTCTATCTTCCTCCATTTCTTTCTACTATGTCTCAGTTTTACCTCCTTGGTTATATTTATTGCTAGGCATATTTTTATGCAATTTAAATGAAGTTGTTTTCTTGGTTTCCCTTCCTGGCACTTCATTACTGGTGTGTAAAAATGTGACTGAATTCTCAATAGTAATTTGTATCCTGCTATTTTACTGACTGTATCAGTGCTAGTAGGTATTTGGTGGAATTTTGAGGCTTCTTTCTACAGTGTATAATGCCATCTACAAATAATAACAGTTTTACTTTTTTGCAGTTTGGGTGCTTTTTATTTATTTTTATTTGCTGATTGCTGTGGCTAAGACTTCCAGTACTACACTGGGTAAAATGTGGTGAAGTATACATCCATGTCTGGTTGTATACATCCTAAGGGGTATAATGATAACTGTGAGTTTGTCATATGTGGCCTTTATTAAGTAGAGGTATGTTAGCTCTATTCCCACTTTGCTGAGAATTTTAATCACATATGGAAGCTGGATTTTGTCAAATGCTTTTTTTTTTTTAAAAATCTGTGGATATGATCATATGATTTTTAGCCTTCATTTTGTTTGTGGTGTGTCACATTAATTGCATTGCAGATATTGAACCAACCTTGCATACCAGGAATAAGCCCCAGTTAAGCATGGTGTTCAGTCTTTATAATGCATTGCTGAATTCAGTTTGTTCATGGGTGTTTTTTTTTGTTTTTGTTTTTTATAGCGTGTTTGCATCTATGTTCATGGGAATATTAGCCCATAATTATTTTTGTGGTATCTTTTTCATTAGAGTAATGGTGGCCTCATAAAATAAGCCCGAGAGACTTCCCTCCTGTTGAATTTTCCAGAATAATTTGAGAATGATAGGTGTTAATTCTTATTTGACTGTGGTAAAATTAATCTGCAAAGTCATCCAGTCCAAGACTTTTGTTTGTTGGAAGTTTTTTAAAAAAATTATTACTGCTTCAATTTCATTAGTAGTAATCAGTAAACACGTGTGCAGACCCTAGTTTAAGAGGACACTTGGGTTTCCAACAGCCTTTCATCTCACCTGGGAGGACAGAATAACTACTGATTTTCACAGCTGTGAGTTGTGGCGGCTCCTCTGTTACTCTGGGCTTGGAGCCAATGTGGGGCTGGGACTCCTCGGACCTCTGCAGCCAAGATATCTCTCTCAAAGCTCAACTACTGCACTTGAGGACTGAGCCAGCTCATCTCTGCCCTCCTACCAGTCTCTATGTAGCTTCTTCTTTATATCCTTAGTTATAGGGCCTCTCTACAGCTAGTCTTCCAATTGTTCTCCAAGTTGATTGTTCTATAATTTAGAAATTATTTTGATGTACTCATGGGACCTACCTTGCCATTTTGACCAGAACTCAGTACTATATTGTTGTGTGTGTTTTTGTTTATTTTGGAGGGGGGGGTTGTTGTTGTTAAAAATATTTTTATTGATTTCAGAGAGGAAGAGAAAGGGAGAGAGAGATAGAAGCATCAATGATGAGAGAGAATCATTTATTGGCTACCTCCTGCATGCCCTCCACTGGGGATCGAGCCTGCAAACCAGGCATATGCTCTTGACTGGAATCTAGCTTTGGACCCTCCCATGGGGAGTAGGCCTAAGCTGCAGTCTGGCCACCCTCTGCCGGAGGTGACCGGGCTGATCAAGGGAAGGCACCAGCCCCATTACCCTGCTGCTGCAGCCACTGCCAGTCACCACAACCACCAAGGTGTTTTCATCAACACGGACTCCAGTCCCTTTACTGTGAAAAAAAATGACAACTTTCTTTAGGCATTTTCAAGATGTGTCTTTCATAGGATATGATCTTTCTTTCTTTCTTTCTTTCTTTCTTTCTTTCTTTCCTTCCTTCTTTCTTATCCTCACCTGAGGATATGTTTCCATTGAATTTTAGAGAGTGTGGAAGAGAGAGGGAGAAACATCAATGTGAGAGGGACACGTTGATTGGTTGCCTCCTGCATGAGCCCTGACCTGGGCCCTGGCCAGGGAGGAACCTGTAACGTTGGTACATGCCCTTGATCAGAATCGAACCCGGACCCTGTGTTTGGCAGGTCGAAGCTCTATCCAATGAGCCAAACCAGCTAGGGCAGGATATGACATTTCTTAGCCCTCCAGCAGCGGATCTCCGTTTTCTCCTCCAGGAGTGAGGTGGAAAAACCCTAGATCATCATCTTGGATTCTTATAACCCAAGTTACCAAGAACACTACAAGTAGCGGTATACAGGGAGCTTAGCCAATGAGTGGTCAGAAAAGGTATTTACACTCGAACTGGTTTGGCTCAGTGGATAGAGAGTCGGCCTACAGACTGAAGGGTCCCAGGTTAGATTCCTATTAAGGGCATGTACCTTGGTTGGAGACACATCCCCAGTGGGGAGTGTGTAGGAGGCAGCCAATCGATATTTTTTTCTCATTGATTTTTCCAACTTTCTATCCCTCTCTCCTCTTCTCTGTAAAAAAAAATCAATACAATATAGTTAAAGAAAAGAAAAGATGTTTCACACATCCTGCATTGTGTCCACTGGGCTAGGGGCATGTCCCCACCAACTGGGGGTGGGGAGAGTGGGGAGACATGCTCCCAAGGCCAGAGCCAGCCCCATGTTCTGGGTACCAGGCTGGGGGGTGTGCTAGGACCACAGCAGCCATGACACAAGGATGTTTCAGCCCTGTCCCCAGCCACTTGGTGCCTGAACCCATAGGCCTGGAGTGGCCAGGGGGTGTTCTGGGATCTATAGGCTAGGAGAGGCCTGGGTCCTGAGGATGTTCCTGGACCCAGGCTGCTCAGCGCCTGTGTATGCAAATTAACCATCATCTTTGTTGGGATAATTTGCATACTTGCTCTGATTGGCTGGTGCGCATAGCAGAAAAACAATCAATTTGCATGCTTCTCTTTTATTAGTTTAGATATATATTGTATATTAGAGGCCTGGTGCATGAATTTGTGCATGGACAGTTGGCTGGCCTGCCTGCTGGTCGAATTCTTGGTCAAGGGGACAATTTGCATATTAGCCTTTTATTATATAGGATATACACTGAGTGGCCAGATTATTTTATTATGTGTTCAGAGATCATAATAATCTGGCCACTCAGTGTATGTTAGATATTGGCCTGCAGTTTTAGTTTCTTATGATGTCTTTATCTAATTTTGTTTTCAGGATGATGGTGGCCTCATAGAATTATTTAGATAATTTTCCTTTCTCTCCTAATTTATGAAGAATTTTACAAAAATTAGTGTTCATTTTTTGATAAATGTCTGGTAAGAATTTACCAATGAAGCCATCAGTTATGGGCTTTTTATTTGGGGTAGCTTTTAATTAATGGTTCAATCTATTTACCTGTTATAGGCATGTTCCAATTTTCTATATCTTATTAATTTCATTTGGGTGGTTTGTATGTCTCTAGTAATTTCTTCATTTTATCCAGGTTATCTAACTTGTTGAATAATCGTTCATGATATTCTCTTATGATCCTTTGTAAATCCACATTATATATATGCCATCATTATGTACACAAAATATTATGTGTTATACTATTATCATGTTTACTATATATATATATATATATATATAGTCTGGTGCATGGATTTGTGCACTGGTGGGGTTCCTCAGTGTGGCCTGTGGGGATTGGTCCGAAACCAGCAGCTCCTGCCTGCGGCTCCTGCTCATGACACAAGGATCACAGCCCCATTACACCTGCTGTGGGCTCACACACAGTCAGTTGCAATCAGGAGAGGCTCATGACACCATAGCAGTGAATCCTGCATCTGGTGCCTGTAGGTCAGCTGAGCTGCCACTCCCTTTGTGGGAGTGCACTGACCTTTATTGAGCATCTGTGCCCTGATGGTCAGTGTGTGTCATAGTGACCGGTCAACCAGTCATTCAGTCATCTGGTTGTCTGGTAACTTAGGCTTTTATATATATATATATATATATATATATATATATATATATATATATATATACATCCATACATACATATACATACATATATATATATATATATATATATATATATATATATATATATATATAAACATGTAATACATTTATATAATATATTAATCATATATAACAGGTTATTATAGCAACCATTGCAGATTCAATTACTAATTTAACAACCCCACAATATAACTTCCACAACTCATAGAACTGTCTCTGAAGATAAAGAAGCCAGGAGACAGGAAGATCACCTTGAGTGTTAACCAGGCAAAGATGATGCTGGATTGGGATGCAGTACAGGAATCTGGTGATTCAGGTAAGGCTGGCATGGGGAGAAGTTCACTGAGGTTTCACAGTGGGGCAAGATACCCAAGAGTGAGACAAATGGAGAATTGAAGTTTAAAGAAAAGTGTGGGCTATGGTGGGGTCCACAAGAAAAGAGTCTACCTGAAGAAGGGGTCCTGTGAGCCCCTCAAGATGTCAACCATGGTCTTTTCCTATAGGTCCATCTACGGTGGGCCTTTTGTCCACCCCAGGAATGGGCAAGTTGATGGCTGAAGCCCCCCTAGTTCTAGAAGCTGAGGAGCAGCAAGTTCTTCATGAGACACACAAGGGCCTGTTGCAGGATGTCTCCCCCGTCTTGTTCTCAGATGTTATCTCTGTCTTTGTGAGCAATAATAACACCCAGAACCTAAGTTCCCCCATCACCTTCATCTTCAAGCATGTGAGTCCTGCTGGGATGGGGCTATAGATATAAAATGATCCTGATTGCTGGGAATAGACTTGAGGTTCTGGGGGCTCTCCCATGGGTGCATCATCTCCCCAGGACAGCCCATCACAAGCAAGATTTGGATCAGCATTTCTGAGCACCAGAAACACCAGCTCACACCTTGCCCTGTTCCTACAGGCAGTGGCCCCAGAGCCACAGCAGAAGCTTTTCTGTGTCTTCTGGGAGTCTGGCCAGAATGGAAGTTATTGGTCCACCAAAGGCTGCTGGAGGGTGGGCACCAGAGACGCCAGCACCACCTGCCAATGCAGCCACCTCAGCAGCTTTGCTGTCCTCATGGCCCACTATGATGTGCAGGTAAGAGCCCTAGAAGGGGTTGAATTCAATGTCTATTGCTGTGTAGTAAATTCCCACAAATGTAGTGTCCTGAGGTCAGCAATCTGGCATGGCATACCTCGTGGTCTGCTCATGGTCTCACAAGACTAAAATGATTGTGTGAGCCAAGCCTGTAATCTCATCTGAGTTGTGCAGTTCCCCAAACTCCCTGGTTGCAGACAGAATTCAGTTCCTTGCAGTTGTAGGACTGATTCCTCACTTTCTTGCCAGCTGGTAGTAGAGGAGCACACTCAGTTCCTAGGGGCTTCCTGCATTCTTTCTCGTGTACCCCTCCCAAGGCCTCTCACAGGAAACCAGCAGGAGAATTGCCCTCACATTAAAACACCCTCAAACTTTGAATCAGTTAAGGGCTCATTTGATTAGGTCTGACCCACACAAGATAAATTCCTCTCTTCAAGTTAGTTGACTGTGGACATGCAAAATGCCTTCCCAGGAGCATCTAGACGGCATTTGATTAACAATCTAAAGGCATTTATATGTACACATGCCAGGGGGGTTATGGTTGCTAAACTAGAATTCTGCCTGCCATGGGGGGTTTCAGGACAGGGGCTCTGAGGGGCTTCAGAAAAGAAGATTTGGTGATGACAAAGCTCAGAGGTACCAGGGCATCCAGTGAGCATAAGCGAGTCAGTAGTTGTCTCTGCCTCTTCTTCTGTCCAGTTGATCTGGTTACTTCTCTGCTCCACCAAAACCAGAAACTTGCTCACGTGACTTCAGGTAATGGAGCATTTACTGACATAAATGTGGCACCACATGAAAAGGATAATAGCTAAGTGGCCAGGTCTCATAGAAGCCTCCAGAAGTGTGAACAACACTCCAAGACCACATTCCCTCCATCCACCTCGCTAGGTAACATGATACTCATACTTTTATTTACATACTCTTTTACATTTATTGAAGACTTAAAATATTTACATTTCAAATTCAAACAGAATAAGAGAGAAACCAGACACTTAGTTCCTCATGCCTCAACCGGTTAAAGCTGTTAGTTTCTCCTGCATTTTTCTTTGGATATTTTATACATATAGGGTCAGGTAAAAATAGGTCTACAGTTGTTTGTATGGAAAATAATACAATAATTAACAAATAATAGTACATGAATAAACTCTGTTTTTCACATACTCACAACTGTAGATCTACTTTTGCTTCACCCTGTATAAAAATAATGCATGTATTGGTTCCTTGGATTTTTCTCTTCTCAAAGACTTGGTGGAGTGTGTGTGTGTGTGTGTATGTGTGTGTGTGTGTGTGTGTGTTTTCACTGTTGTGCAAATTGTGTTTTATTTATTGCATCTAGGAGAATTTTCTATTCCAGCCTACAAAAAGACACTACATCATTTTTATTACCACACAGCATTTCATTTTGTGAATGTTCCATAAATTACACATCAAGACCTCTTATAGTGGGTTTTGTTTTGATCATTTGCTAATACATAATGTTGCAATTGTTTACACACACTTCCTTCTTCTCACGTGATAACCTATAAGCTTAGTCATGCCCAAAAGTCTAAAGAAAAATAAACCCTATGCCTGGTTCAGGTGGCTCAGTTGGTTGGATGTTGTCTGGTGCACCAAAAGGTTGCTGGTTCAATTCCCGATCAGGGCACATGCCTGGGATGCAGGCTCTATTCCCATAGGGACTGTGCAGGAGGCAACTGATGTTTCATCTCATATCAGTGTTTCTCTCTTTATCACCCTCTCCTTTCCTTTATCTCTAAAATTCAATAAAAATATTTTGTTTTTATTGATTTCAGAGAGGAAAGGAAAGGGAGATAGAAACATCAATGATGAGAGAGAATCATCAATCATCCGCCTCCTGCACACCTCCCTACTGGGGATTGAGTCAACCCAGACATGTTCCCTGACTGGGAATCAAAGCATGATCTCCTGGTCCATGGGTCAACACTCAACCACTGACCAATACCAGCTGGAAAATTTTTCTTCAGTGACATTCTTTTTTGTTGTTAATCCTCACCTGAAGCTATTTTTCAATTTTTAGAGAGTGGAAGGGAAAGAATGAGATAAAGAGAGAGAAAGAAACATAGATTTGAAAGAGACATATTGACTGGCTGCCTTTGCACACCCAACCAGGGTTAGGGATCAGGCCTGCAACCAAGGTATATGCCCTTGACCAGAATCAAACCTGGGACCCTTCAGTTCACAGGCCAACGCTCTTTCCACTGAGCCAAACTGACTAGGGCAAAAATATTTTAAAATAAACCCTTGAGTTCCAGGACTTGATCTTGAGTAAGGCCTATTCTATCCCTCAATTCTTCCGGGGTCTGAATTAATCCACTCAGGACCCATAAAACTCTAAGATTACCCACAAACATCACAAATTTAGGTGGCTCCTCCATTCCTGATTTTGTTACATCCAAAAATAAAACTAAATATGGTGGGAGAGTCATTAACCCAGCTCAGGAAAGTATAACCGATATTTCCTCTTTGCTGGGTCCCAGGAGGAGGATCCTGCCCTGGCTGTGATTACCTCCCTGGGACTGAGCCTCTCTCTGCTGTGCCTGTTCCTGGCGGCCCTCACTTTCCTGCTGTGCAAAGCCATCCAGAACACCAGCACCTCACTCCACCTGCAGCTCTCGCTCTGCCTCTTCCTGGCCCACCTGCTCTTCCTCACGGCCATCGACAGAACTGAGAACAAGGTATTGACACTGTCCCAAAGGACACCTGTCCTCCCTGTGGGATGTGGAGTTCATGTTGCCATGCTGCATTGAACATCTTAACATAATGGCCTTGTGTTTTAGGAATGTTGGAGGGGTGAGTAGCCAATTTCACAATGACTGGCGCAACTAGAAGACCCCCTTTTTTGACATTTCCTTCATATACATCAGAGTCCCCCCCAAAAAGTATAGGAGAGGTCTTGGGTCCATACTTTACCTGACAATCCCACCTGGTGATTCTCCCCCCCGCCCCCCAGGTGATGTGCGCCATCATCGCGGGTGCCTTACACTATCTCTACCTGGCCTCCTTCACCTGGATGCTGATGGAGGGCCTGCACCTCTTCCTCACTGCTCGCAACCTGACGGTGGTCAACTACTCCGGTGTGAGCAGGTTCATGAAGAAGTTCATGCTTCCTGTGGGCTACGGAGTCCCGGCTGTAATCACGGGCATTTCCGCGGCATCCAGGCCTCACCTTTATGGAACACCTGCCCGGTAAATCAAAGTTCCCACTGTCCTCATCTTCTCCACATGACCATGGTCAGTAGAGAACCAATGTGGCACTTTAATTTCACTAGAATATGATAGGTATAGGAAAACAGTAATAACCACCCATAGACTTCTTCCTGGTTCCATGATTGTATTCCTTAAAGTGATTGTTTTTTAAGAATTTAAAATTTCATTGTTTCAAATGTTAATTATATAGTATATTATTATATGTTTATATGATATTAATTGTGCATTACATTCATTACCTATACTTTTATAATAATGAAACGTTAACAACCATGAATTAATACATGGTTAAAATAAATAAGCTGATTTTTTTCTTTTAGATTCAATTATTTTAAATATTAATTATAATTAAACTAGAGGCCTGGCGCACAAAATTCGTGCATGGTTAGGGGGAAAGGTCCTTCAGCCCAGCCTGTACGCTCTCCAATCTGAGACCCCTCTCACAATCCAGGACCACTGGCTCCTAACCACTTACCTGCCTGCCTGCCTAATGCCCCTAACTGCTCCCCTGCCTGCCTGATCACCCCTAACCACCTCTGCCTGACAGCCTGGTCACCCCCAAAGTACATATGACTGGGGTCCCTCAGCCTGGCCTGTGCCTCTCGTAGTCCAGGAGTCCTTGAGGGATGTCGGGGTTGGGGGGCCCGCAAGCCTAAGCCAGTAGTCAGACATCCTTAGCTCTGCTACGGAGGCCTGCAGGGGAGCAGTTAGGCATCAATCAGGCTGGCAGGGGAGTGGTTAGGGGTTGATCAGGCTGGCAGGCAGAAATGGTTAGGGGCAATCAGGAAGGCATGCAGGCAAGCAGTTGGAGGCCAGCAGTCCTGGATTGTGAGAGGAATGTCCCAGATTGGAGAGGGTGCAGGCTGGGCTGAAGGACATACCCCTGTGCATGAATTTCATGTACCGGGCCTCTAGCATTAATATAATATTCATTACTCTAATTTAGGGGACTGCTTTAAATATTCTAGGAAGCAAAATGGTAAAGAAGGGATGACATTGTTTGGTGTAACCTACTTCTCTCCTTAATTACAAAAAAAGGGGGGGGAGTGTTATTTAGATGATGAAATTGTGATGACCAGAGCTAAGATTTAGAAATCACTTTGGACATGCAATCTATATTCCCAAGATTTTTCATGTTTCAGCTCAGGTCATTCTCCCAACAACCCACTTAGGTAGAAAAGGAATTATAGGAGTTTTACAGGTGAGGAAATTGAGGTACAGAGATAGCTGACATGATCCAAATCACACAGATGGTTGCTGGCAGAACTGTCTATATTTGATCAGATATAGACAATCCAGCATTTACAACGTACTTCTATGTTGATATAATTAATGTTCACCACCATCGGAGTAGCCCTGGTCGGATGGCCTTCCTATACAGCTTTCAAAAAGTCAGCAAACTGTAAAGGGCTGCAACTTTGCGGACCATGTACTCTCTGTTGCAACTATTCACCTCTGTCCTTGTAGCACACGAGCTGCCATAGGCAATATGCAAGAGAATCAGTATAATTGTGTACCTGCAAAGAACCTTTACAAAATCACGTGGAGACCCCATTTGACCCACAGGGTGTGGTTTGCCAACATTGTCTTAGTAGGGTTGGCTTTGATACTTCTGGTGAGTCTACCTAATTTCATGGTACTCAAACCTCCCAACTCATTCACAAATATCTCACATGGGATCATTTCTAGTTCTATCATTTCTATCAGTGTGGCCTTCATTTACTATGTTTCCTTAAGCATTAGATACCAACCTGTGATCACTTGAGTCAATGTTGTCATGAGGAATAAATTATGTAATGCACATGAGCCCTACCTTAGTACTGTTATCAGGTTACTGTCGTCATCTTTTTTTTTACTATCATCTTGCAAGCCCCCAATTTTTTTCACCTTCTATACACCTGCTCATCCATTCATATCTCACAATAAATACAATCAGTTCTCTCTCTTCCCAACTACCTAACCCTCCTATACCACAGACGAAGAAAACTGTCTAGCTCTGTGTTCTCATAGCTCCTCACACTTGACCATAAAACTCATTATCTTGATTGTCTCTATTGTCTAATTAGTGACCTTCCCTGAGGACTGGGACCAGACTATCTCAATTGCAGCTGGGTCTTCAGGTCAAGCAGAGGTCCTGATACAGAGGAGAATAATATTTTCTCAATAAACCATAACTTAATTTACTTATTGATATTTATCTTTTCATGTAAAATTTTTTTTTCTGCCAGCATACCTGACAGACACTTTTAAAATAAATGTATCTTTTTAAAAACCAAATCATTATGGCATGATTGATGTACACAATGCTATACATAGTTAAGGTCTGTAACCTGATGAGTTTGAATTTAACTATACAACCAGGACCAGCATCACCATCAAGGACATACAAAAATTTCAGTTATGAAAGAGTAATAAGATAAGAAGATCTATTAAAGTCTATGGCCTAATTAACAATATTGTATTGTATACTTAAAATTTAGTAAGAGGATAGATCTTAGCTTATAGGTTCTTATATAAAAGAAACAATATTAGCAATAGGAGGAAGAAGAAACTATGGGTGGTAAAGGATATGTCTACCAAGTCTTTATCCACAAAAGCAAATAGATTCTTCAGTCTCTTTCCATCTCTCTTTAGATGCTGGCTCAGCACACAAAAGGGATTTATATGGACCTTCCTTGGCCCTGTCTGCATCATCTTCTCTGTGAGTAAAGGATGACATGAGAGCATGCTTCCTGCCCAGATGAGGGTCTACCAAAGAGCAGGTGTATAAGGAGGGTTAAAGGCAGGATGAGAAATCCTTAAAGTTTGCCCAGGACTGAGGAGGCATGCAGGAGACAAAATTTCTGTTTTAAAACCAGGATAAAGGGATTTCCTGACACATCTCACTTTCAGTGCTAAAATGTGGAGATTGCCATAAAAATTGGGACAAGTTGGTCACCCCCGTTCCAGGACAAGCATAAGCCTGAGTTACTGGATGCAATTTGGTCCCTTTTTCTATGAGTGCTATAAATACTGGCTGAGTTAGGTATTGGATGAGACAGGAGGAAGGTATACAGATGTGGAATATATTCAATATGCCTTGTGGGGTTTCCGCAGATTAACTTGGTCTTCTTTCTGATGACCATCTGGATTCTGAAAACCAAGCTCTCCTCACTCAACAGGAATGTGTCCACCCTCCAGAACACAAGGTGAGAGGGATAAGTGAGGCATACCACCCCATACAAAGCATGGTCCAGGAGCAATATGCCATGGTTCCAAGCTCCTGCCGTCCTTTCATGGGGATTCTGAGGGGTTAGGAGAGAAGTGCAGCCACCCTCTCTGGAAACCAGCTCAGATAATGTAGTTTGCTGCTGAAACCCTAGTCAAAAGCATTGTTTCTCCATAACTCTGGCATGAAATTACCTCAGCCACAGAGAAAATTGACTTTGTTCTGCTAAACATGAATTATTTCCATGGTCCTATGAAGGTCTCAGATTATTTTTATCTTTATAGAACACTTAGGAAGTCACATAACTGTTCCCAGAACTCAGCATGCACATTCATGTCCACATCTTCATGGATGTTCTTCCCTCTGCCCTCTCCACTCCTACACCTGAGAAAATCAGGTTCTTTACCCACATATCACATCTTGTGACAGGCTAGGGGCATCCTTTGCTTTCCTAACCTTAGTACAGAATACATGGCCTCTATTCTAGGAAAACCAGGCTCACCCTCAGTTCATGGAGAGTGGAAATATAGAAATAGTGTTGGATGGGGCCTGTGCAGAGGTACCTCACACATAATAAACATTATGTGACTGTTTTCATCTTTCCATGAGACTATAAGGTTTGTGAAAACAGAAATTATCTGTGTTATTTTTAAAAAATATATTTTTATTGACTTTTTACAGGAAGGGAGAGGGATAGAGAGCTAGAAATATCGATGAGAGAGAAACATCGACCACTGCCTCCTGCTCACCCCCTACTCGGGATGTGCCTGCAGCCAATGTACATACCCTTGACCAGAATCGAACCTGGGACCTTTCAGTCCACTCTATACACTGAGCTAAACCGTTTTCCACTATCTGTGTTATTTTTAATACCCAAGACCACGCACAGAGAATGAAGTACACAGAAAGTCTCCAGTAATCCCAGTTGAACGAAATTAGGGATATTCATGAAACATCATGACCTTTTTGAAGTCCACATTATGAATTATCACTAGAGCAGAACCTCCGTCCTTGAACTTAATTTATTCTGAAAGGTTGTTGGAGAAGCAGTGTCTTGGAAAATAAAATCTATTTATCCTGTTAGAAATGATGTAAATGGATTAATGTGTTCCAGACCTCCCAAATGGCTCTGTCTTAACCTTTCCTGTATACAGTACATGTGTAGTGTAGTTTAATCTATAAACAAACACTTCTTTTCTTAAATTTTATCGAACCGTTCCCTGTTAGCCTTAAACTAATCATATTTAGCACTTGTTCAAGGGGATCTCTTTAGAGGTCAGTATGCAGCATCTTCACCTTTTCACATATCATTGCCTCTGAAATGCTGTCACTGACTAACTGCTTTTCCTTTATCCAAATTAATAATAATTTTTCTACCTCTTGAATTGCCTTCATTGTTTCATGAGCACTATCATACCCTTACCAACATCAGCAATCTTTTTTTCTTTTTAAAATTAAATGATTATCTGTGTACATATCTTACCATTGCCCCCCCCCCCGCCCCTTTCCCATACATGCCCTCCCTAACCAGAGTTTTGTGTCCATTGGTTGTACTTGTATGCATGCATACAACATCAGCACTCTTGATGGCCTCTTCATGTTTTAAAACTGTGCTAATTATCCATTTCAGCACAACAAAAGTACATAAATAAATAAATAAATAAATAATCCACAGCACAGTTTCTTGAGATGTTAACAAGGCAAGGTTTAGCTGTAAACTAACTCGTATTGGTACATTCTCTCCTTTGTTTGTGGTCTGAGACACACTTTTTGTCATAATGATGCATCAGCATGAAATGGTTATTAGGTCAAGAACTGAAGTTAACCAAGACATCCCCCGCCCCCCCCCCCTCCCCCGAACAACCTGGTTAAGAACCAAATGGTTAAAGATGGGAGATGTTCACTCAAAGTCAAAATGACATGATAAACTCTGATAGCATTTCTTCCAGAGGATCATTGAGAGTAGTTATCAAAGTTGATCACAACTCAGTCATGCATCCTTGGGATAGAGATGAGGATAACCTTAATTCTGTTGTTCTGGGTACACCACTGACCTCTCTTTTCCTCCCACCCAGGATGTTGACATTTAAAGCAATGGCTCAGCTCTTCATCTTGGGCTGCACGTGGTGTCTGGGAATCCTGCAGGTGGGTCCAGCTGCTCATGCTATGTCCTATCTCTTCACCATCATCAACAGCCTGCAGGGCGTCTTCATCTTCCTGGTGTACTGCCTCCTCAGCCAGCAGGTATTATTGTCTGCTTCCACCCAGGATTTTCCACTCTCAGTCCTCTCAGTGAGCTGACTCAGAGCATGCTTTGGTTCTGTAGGTCCGGGAGCAATACAGGAAATGGTTGAAAGGGTTCAAAGAAACTAAAGTCGACTCTGAGAAGTACACACTCTCCAGCAGGGCTATGTCTGAAGTCTCCAAACATAATGTGGTAAGATCACATATTTCTCCCAGAGCACTTCACTAGCTGATCCACTTGAGTAGCTCATGCCCATCACACTGGACAACCTGACATATAGCCGGTGATGCCCTAGGATGGCTCGCACTGGGTTTACTTGTGGACTCATTCCAAGGCATTTCCATGTCAACAATAGAGGTGTTCCTGTACTTCCACTCACTGTGTTGATGTACTCACATTGACCTTGCCTATTATTCTCTTCTCCTGTGTGTAGAGCACTCACTTTGTGAGACATGGTGCATGTGGTTTTTAATTTTACTTAGTGAAAAGATACAAAATATTTCCTCATAAGCAGAGAGAGAAGCTATGGATGATTAGCTCAACAAGCAGGAACTAATGATTTGGAGCTGTGATGCTCAAACTGCACAGTCACAGCACCATCCTTTATCCCAATTCACTGCATGTTACCCTCTATGTAAAGAACAATAAATGCATGGCATATATAATTATAAAAGCTGGTAAAAATAGGTGCTAGGCTCAATTTGAGACTTGAGAATCTACTATGGTTCCTGGAATTTCCAACACATACAAATAATGCAAAGCCAAGAAGGAGATTCACAAAAGGCTGAGGAGGGATCCCTAAAATAGCAATGAACATAGATATATTCTGGTTTATAAAATTTTGTCTTATGATTTTTGTTCACATGTTCTTCACATCAGCTCTTGAAGATAAGTATTATTACGTTCTCATTTGGTAGGTAAAGAAAATGATACTCATAAGTTCTATATGGATTGTGCGAGGTTTTCAGACAATTCACCTTTTCTCCCAAATTCCATGGACCCACCATGCTTCCTGCCAAGCCTTATACATATTTATCATCCACTTGTTTGTCCAACCCTCTACAACTAATCCTTCCCAAATTCTCCATTCATCAAGAATCTCATTCTTCTAATTCTTTCCTTTCCAGCAGATGTTTCTACCAGTTTCTTCCATAGCAAATCAAGTAAGCAGGATGAAACAAGGTCAACTTTGTGCTCTCAAAAACACAAGGCATTGGACATCTGGTTCATTCTCTCCTCATTCCATCTTATTGCCACAGACAAAATATGCTTCTACCTTTTTTAAGGTTAGTCCTTCTGTTGCACTTTGGTTCCCAACACTCTTGACAGCTGCATAACTTTACATTACTGTGCATGCATTCTCTCTCTGGATCTTGCAGTCTCACTTACTCAACAGCATCATTGCAACCACATTCATTGCCAACTTGCTAAATCTCTCTTATTAAAAATTATTAAAGTTATACATTTGATTCCTCCCTCTTCTTCCTCAAACACTCAAAACTGGTATGTGCCTCCATCGTTTCACCGAAGAGCTATCTCTTAAGCCTCCAATAACCTTCATCTCACTGGATGAAATAACTATTTTTGGGTCCTCTTAGTACTAATGGGTGTTGTGGTTACTGCCTCCATCATGAAACTTCTCTTTTGTTCCTGGTTCCTAGATCTCAACATCTTGACATTCTTTCTAACTTTCTGTCTGAACTGTCTTTCTCTTCTTTAGATTTCATTTACTCTATCCAGTTTTGTCTGTTCAATTTTTTTCTCCCATTCTTATGGTTGGGTTTTTCACACTCTTAATCCAATTGATGCATAATTTTTTTTTACTTTGTGGGAGTGAAATTTATCTATTTTTTTTGTTTACTTGCGCTTTATGTATCATATTTTAAAAAGAATTGACTAACACCCATAAGATTTATATATGTTTTCTTTCAAAAAATTTATAGTTTTAATTATTACATTTAGGTATATGATTTAGAATTTATTTTTAATGGTTTGAGGTTTTTACAGTGTGATGTACCCATTCTTTTACATGTGAATATCCAGTTTTCCCAACACCATTTATTGAAAAGATTGTTCTTTCCATTGGTGAATTATCCTGACATCCTTGTCAAAAGCAAATCATGATAAATATAAGGTTTTATTTTTGTACACTTAACTCTCTTCCATCATCTATCTTGATTACTATAGTTTGTAGCAAGTTTAAAATTGGGGAATTGACTACACAAATTTCTTCTTCTTTTTTAATCAGGATTGTTTTAGCTGTTCTGGACCTTTTTAAGACCCATATAAATTTTAAGCTGTGCTTGTCAATTTATGAGAAAAATTTCACTGAGATATTGATAAGCATTTTGTTGAATCTATAGATCAATGTGGAGGTTCTGCAATCTTAACTTGTAAGACTTCGGATCCATGAACATGCAATATTTTTTCCATGTCTTTAGGTTGTTTAACTTCTTTTGACAATCTTTCATAGTTTTCAGAGTTCACATCTTGCACTTTTTAATACAGTATCATTTTTATCCCTTCCATCTCAGGAGAATGAAATTAACAACTACACCAGATGATCCTGTCTCCTGGAAAATGAGGAAAACACTGAACTGTTATCCTTTGGGCAAAGAATACAGAATGTACTTCTTGTGTCTGTTACAAGTAACTCTTCTTGGCACCATTGTGGGAAAAAGTATACAGGAAATGTTTGACATTCATTTGCTAGAGAATTGGGACCTTCTGGTCCACACAGCATGCTCAGCTCAATCCCAGCATAGTCAAGGGGCTATGACCCAATTCCTCAGTTGTCTTGGGTTAAACCCTCCACTTCAACCTGTTTTTCTACAAAAATGTTCCTCAAGTTTATATAACAAGGAAAACAATCACCAAATGCCTATCTTATAATGACATAAAGGAGTAATGTTCAAATACCTATATTTGGCCTCCCTACCTACATGCCTTGACTTAACTCTTCATTTCTAAAGACTTACTAATTTTTCATTTAAAAATATTTCTCTTACTCACCATACGCTGTACACAGATCAAGACAAATTCAGTTCCTGGTTTTACAAAGCTTATATGTAAAGAAAAAGAGTAAAATCAATAGTTTCTACATACTTGCATTTTATAAATTTGAGTTGTGTGCAAGGTGTGTATTGCTACAGTATATTGTGTAGTTATATTTATATATATTATTTCATCTAGGCAAAACCCAATCCAGAATAATTTCACTTGGAAGAAACTCCCTATGGATTTCCACAGACCACTTTTGTATAACTTGAGCATATGGGAAATGCTTAAAAATGGGCATAACATTAAAAACACCCATGAGTCCATAGTGGTACCTAAAAATATCAGCTAGTAATTATAAAAGATGAGATAAAATTAGAAAATCATGATTTTGCAATGTCAAATATTAATAAATGGCCACTGAAACAAAATGTAAAAGGCTGTTGGAGGACAGGCTAGTCAGTCCCACACTGCCAAAAATACCACCTCATATATTATCAATTAATTACAAGGGCCAAAGTGCCATTTACAATAGGGAGATCTTATAGTCACCATATGACCTTAATGATCAGCTTAACATTGTCAATAGCGGGCAATCTAACATTATCTCCTGTTAAGACGTGACTTTACAACATCCTATGTGTATAAATAAAGAATTATTGACAAATCAGTCTAACCAAAATCTAATCAAGCGTTTCAAAATCAAGGGTTGGGAAACTATAACATGCAGGCTAAATCCAGGCATCTGCCTGCTTTTATAAATAAAGTTTGTTATGTGCTATAACATTCTAGGAATATTATGCATTATATATTTTTAGATTTAAGTCTTTACAATTTAATAGTAAACCCAATTGATATTCTTATTTGATTGTATTTTGTGTCTTGTTTCAGTTAGTGTTTAATTCTCCATTCAATTCTGGGTACTATTGTTATTTCGAAACTACTCATCTTAACCTGGTTTCATTATCTCTTTTTTTTCTCCTTCTATCACTGTTTACATTCTTAGTTTTGTCTCAGTGTAAGTGCACATCTATTCACATACCTTTGTGAAAAATCCAAAGGTGAATAAAGCAGGTGAAGTATCTGCTCTTTTGATCATGCAGTATGACTGTGAGGGCAGAGAACAATGAAATAGATGTGTGTTTAAAATATTGTCCTCAGGAAGAATCATGTGAACAAAGCTATTCAGTATAAAGAGATAGAACTGTCATGGTGTGGGCAGGATTTACAAGGCATGGTCTGGGGAGGTTGTGCATGTAAAATGAAGACCAGACCAGAACCAGAATGTGCTCACAGGGTGTGCCAAAAAAAAGATGAAAACCAAAAGCCCAAAAATAACACAGGAAAGGTGCCACATAAGAAAAGGGAGAGAGGGACTAACCTCATCCCCTATCAGACCACATAACAAATTGGTCAAGTGACTATGAATTGGTACAGAAAACAACTCTTCCACTGCTTGATAACAAAAATCCAACTCTTTTTACACTTTCAGTGTGTGGGGTGTTGTTTTATTCCTTTACTCATTAAAAAGGGGTACAATAAGGAAGACAATTTTGTCTTTTAGACAAGCTTATTCTTGTTTACTTATTTTACTGAAATATGGAATGTGTTGAGAGTTTATCGCCAAACCCAACTATATTTATCTTCCTCACCATCCCTCCAGAATCTCCTGAGTTTATTATATATCTATTTCATTATTTTCTCCCTGATCTCTCTATTCTTTCCATTCATTGAACAGATTTCTTTCTGTTTTACTAAATACAGAGCAGAAAATGGCCATTCCAGTATGGAACTCCAAGTTTATTAGTCTATGGAAGGTTTAATATTTGGATTTCTAGAAATCATTTCTATATTTTACAAGTTAAACATCACTGATCTGGCCAACTTGGGCTGTATTTATTCATACTAGAACCATTGTGGTTGGCCTGAGACAGACATGGGAATACCTACCTAGGAGGTCCTGCTGGTGGTGGTGGTGGTATGTGTCTGTGTGCGTGTGTGCATGTGCGCACGTGCATGTGTATTTGCATGTGTGATTTATATATGTGAACAGTTCTCAGACCAGGGGTAACTGCACTCATACATTCCAAGGTGACTCTTACAATACAGGGTCAGAGCTCAATGAAGAGAAGGTACAATAATAAGAAGGGCATCTGTTTCCATTCCCAGACACCTTTGCGACAAGAATAATAGAGTATAAGAGGCCATGTGGACAAGTAAGTCCCTGTGCCTGAGGTGTCAGCCATAGCAGACAAGCCACCTCACTCAGCATGTCTGACATCACTTCTTCTCACTCTCCCTCATGCTTATCCACATTGCAACCGGGCTTCGCTTTTTTGGATTTGAATATTAGAAACAAGTACCTTCCTCAGGGCCCTTACTCTGGTCAGTCCCTCTGCAGGGCTCACTCTTTTCCCCAGAGCCTTGTATCTCTCTTTCTCTGTTGCATTAAAGAAAAATTTATCAGGGTCAAAAACTTTCCTTTTTTAAAATATATTTTTATTGATTTCAGAGAGAGGAAGGGAGAGAGAGAGAGAGAAACATCAATGATGAGAAAGAATCATTGATCAGCTGCCTCCTGCAGGCCCCCCACTGGGAATTGAGCCCACAACCCAGACAGGTGCCCTGACCAGGAATCTAACCACGACTTCTTGGATCATAGTTTGATGCTCAACCACTGAGTGACACCAGCAGGCCAAAAGCTTTTCTTTAAGGAAAAAAATTATTATTTTTGAGCCAAATGCCAGCCAGGAAAGGTCTTGGGCATAAAGTTTAAACCACCAGCAGCAGAGTGAGGTACAAAAGATATGTCCAAGTCCTGGAGTTTACTGGCTCTTCACACTTTTAGTAAAGAAACATGTAAACTTTTTTGAAACGACTTACATTGGCTATGGATCCTGGGTGGGGTGGGAGCAGGTAAAGTGGGGGCAGGTCTTGAATAGCTACTGAGGAAGACTATTCACTACTTTGATTGGTTATAGGCAGCAGTCCTGAAAGCTCATGGGCATGCAGGATGCAGGGGCACCTTATGCTCTCTACAGAAGTTGATTCAAGTTCCAACACACATCAGGAATGTGAGCAGTCTTTTGTAAGTGGGCCACAGCTTTTAGCTGGATGACTACTATTGTTTTTCTCAATCTCTCTAGCCCTAGTGTATTTAATTGAGGACATCACAGAACTTTCCACATTTCACTTATTTGAGGTCTCTGTTCAAATGTCACCTTATTTGCAGATCTACCTAAAAGCCCATGAAAAACGTAACTCCTTACTCATTGTCCCTTTTAGATGTGCTTTCCTTTTCTTCATACCACTGCCAACATCTGAAGTAATTTAATATTTTATTATTTGCTTCTACATTTTTTCTCCCTCATTGGATTGGAGAGATTTTATGCTTCAGTACCCTTTTCTCACAACCTGGACAGTGCCTAAAACATGGTCAACATTCAATTTATATTCCTGAGAAACATGAAGAAATTCTCATCAAAACTTTAGAATACATGAACCCCTCAGATACATAGGTGATAGGGACACATATTCCATATTAAGGATGGCAAGGGATACCCCCTAAAGGGGACCATAACATCTATAAAATATTAAAATATTAAAAGTAATGTCTAGCATGCAAAATATAAACATTTTAGTGAAAATTAGTCATGTTACTTTTATCTTTCCTGATGGTCAACTCCACCTCATGGAACTTGTGAACCTTACACAAATTTCAGAGTTTGTTCTTCTGGGATTTTCAGAGAAACCAGAACTGTAGCCCCTCATATTTGGGCTTTTCCTCTCCATGTACCTGATCACTGTGATGGGAAACCTGCTCATCATCCTGGCTGTCAGCTCAGATTCCTACATCCACACACCCATGTACTTCTTCCTCTCCAACCTGTCCTTGCTAGACATCTGTTTCACCTCCGATACCATCCCAAAGATGCCGGTGAACATCCAGACACAGAGCAAAGTCACTACCTATGCAGGATGCATCACCCAGATGTATTTTTATATACATTTTGCTGGGTTGGATATTTTCCTCTGACCGTGATGTCCTATGACCGGTTTGTGGCCATCCGTGAGCCTCTCTCCTTCTTTCTAGCTGTAGATTTCCTACTCTGCCTGCTTTCCTGTGGTTTTGGTCTTGTCGCACTAGTCCCTCCTCTGGAATCTGTGATAACATAGTGAGATATGACTTCAGTTGGTTTTATAAGAACTAAAAATGTTCTAATAAATAAAAAACCACTGACTCATGGACTACGGTCACATAAACCCAAGACTAGGTGACATTGGATGACTGATGATCACAACTCTTAAAGTATATCATCATAACACCTGCTCCAACCAATCAGAATATATACATGAGCTGATCACCCATTGAAGACCCCATCTGTAAAAAAATCAATAAAATATTGGGCAAAATTTTAATTACTGAACATCTTTTTTTTTAATAAAATATATTTTATTGGTAGCACTGTGCAAGGAGAATATATTGATGCTACCAATAACAAGCGAGTCTAGTCTCTAATCTCTTCACTACAAATCTCATGTTCAGTGTGTGTGACTCACCTGGTGCCTGGTGGATAAACTCTTCAGTTACAGAGGTAATTGTGTTTCTGACTTTGAGGTCTTTGACCAGAATTGAACATGGGACCCTTTAACTCACAGGCCAATGCTCTATCTACTGAGCCAAACCAATTAGGGAACATGTTTTCTTCTTCTTGTCTTACAATGTCCTTCCTCCCTTCTGTAGCTCTAGTTGCTTTACCTCATAATGCCGTATAAATGGTACCAAAAAGTTCCCCTTTAATGTTAATTTGATTTGGAAGCTGAAATATAAGCAATTTTATTTTTAACTAGAAGCTCACTACATGAATTCATGCACGGGGAGGATTCTTTCAACCTGGTTGGCAATCAGTGTTGATCAGGGGCGGCTGGCCAGCCAGGTGGGGCTA